TACTTGTTGCATCTTCATTCATATATCTTGCTTCTAACTTATCCCACAATTCTTTTGCAGTAGACTCATGAACATAAGTATCAAAAAGGGAATCAGACATACCATTTAAGATGCAGCCCCTGCAAACATAATCATCATTCTCCCACTTTTTTCTTTTCCTTGTATCTTGCAAAGTTTCATTCTCATTTTCCTCTGGTCGAGCATCAGTGAGAACATAAATGATGTTGAGAGTTGTGAGAAGGATGTGCATCTTGCATTGCCATCGAATAAAGTTGCCCCCATCAAAGCAATCTAACTTCTGGAAATTAGTAGCCATCTCACGCAAAGTTGCAGCCATAATTGCAGAACAGAAATTAGCCTAAAGATTGTTGAAGAAATAGGGTAAAAAATCTGCAAATGGCTTCAAGGCGTGTTGCAAATGCCACTTTCCTTTAGGCTAATTTCGCCCCCACCAGATCTGGTATGCAAAAGGAGTAACTCGAAATGCCCGTAGGATACAATGAAGCGCCTTGTTGATCTTACTTTTGCACTAGCAAGATCAACCACTGAACCATCCTTTGGAAAGCGACAAAACAATAGTTTTTGTATAAGGATTTCTGCAGCAATCGAAGTGCAAAAAGGGGCTGTTTTATTTAGATAATAGTAGGGATTTGTTTCTGGGTTCAAGAGACAAAGAAGAAGAAGAGATAACTTCATATTTATAGGGCCAAGATGTCTGTTGTGAACAGACACTCCTTTTCAGTTATTATCAGTTTATTAACGGATAATAACTGAGTTATCATGAAATTTATCCGTTAGAAACTTTTCCAAAAGTCATTTGGTTTGATTTGAACTCCAAATGACGTGTTTCTTTGCCTTCCAAAGTTATCCACTCTCTTCAGAAACTTATCTGAATTTTATCTCTTATTCTGACGTAAATGGTTCGAATCAGAAAAATGTGGTTCGAACCAAAATTCGAATTTTGATTTTCCGTAAATGATTCAAATCATATAATTATGGTTCGAACCAAAGTTACACTTTCTCAAATGCATTCTGCGCAATTGCTTCGAATCAACTTTTTGTGATTCGAACCCAAATCCTGGAAATATTTTGAAAATTCTTCAACACAACGGAGCCCAGCAAACTAAACTGACAAATATTATTCAGAGTTAGATATAATTTCTGACAACATAAGGCAACAAAAACTTATTATTAACCTCTTGCAAAATGTTGTCCCATTTCCTGTATGCAACCATCATTAGAAGGTGATCAGACTGCCTGTCACTGTTATTGGAATCAATTGAGCCCTCTGGGTTGTCAGATAACAGGGCCAATTTAGCTCTTTCAACATTTTGCCTCTGAAATTAGAAACAAAATTATGCCAGTAATGCAACTATGTTCTCTTCTGGAGGTGCATAGACAGTATACAAATGGTGCAAAGCATAGAAATAAAAATACCTCATCTTTTGGATATACAAATGGAGATTTATAGCTCAAAAACGCTGATATGGAGAGTATAGGAGATAAGCAACCAAATATCCCACCATACAGCAGCATCTGCAGTTTCAAAGAAAAATGGAATTAACATATTTGGTACAATGAAAGCCTAAATTACTCAACAGTTTAACAGAAAGAATCTTTGATGTTTCTTTGAGATTTGCGTCTTAGTGTGAAAAAGCATCCAAAAATGAAAATTATTCATAGTAAATCCAATTTACATACTGCATTTTCATGCACTTGGAGTAAAAGGCCAAGACCATATCAAGCCCAATCCATCAAAAGAATCACTTTAACAGGCTAACCCTTCCTGAATCCAGTCAAGACTCCACAGGCTGTCCTCAGAGCATGTCAATTCCTTGCACTTTTCTTTAATCTTTAATACAACATTTTTAAAATTCTTTTAATGTTGATAGTTAATTGATCCTTAGAAAATATGGGAAAAGTATAGTCATTATGAGTTAACTGATCCTCAATGTCATTAACAATGTTTACTAAGCAATACAACTAATTAAAATTGCACAAATGATTCATTAGCATTTATTTCTCAGGGGGTACCCATATTAAGAGACTGAAGGAAGACTAACAGA